AGACACACGCAGACACAAGCAGACACAAGCAGACACAAGCAGACACAAGCAGATACAGACAGACACAAGCAGATACAGACAGACACAGACAAGCATAGGCCGATGAAGCTGCAGTTATGTCATGCTGGCCAAGATCTAGAACTGACCGCTTGGGACCAGTACCAACGATCCCACCAACACCCTTCCTCGGCCCTGGGACTCGCACCCCGAGTTGTACGCCGCGCGTCAGAGTCGAAGCCGTTACGGGCGCTCGCCAGACGGCGCGAACATGAATGACGATGTAAAATGGCTCGGCGTACCGCACCCGCCGTCGTGGAGTGCGTCACCTCAACACTCAAGGCCCACAGAGGTGTGTCACAGGTAAGGACGCGAAAAGCAAAGTGACAGGCTTTTCAAAACAGGTCATCCAAGCCGCAAGGTAAACCTCCTCATCTGGAGTGGGGAAAGCGTTGGCTTGCTGGAGGGATCGCCTTCGGTCAGCCCGCTGAGAGACGTTAGCATCCCAGTCCATCAATGTCGTGTTATTCGCCACAGTCCAAATCATGAGTCCAGGCTGCTTCGTCGAAAAAATCTTCGTCGAAAAAATCTTCGTCGAAAAAAAACACAGCGGGCGCCTCGACGTCAGCCTAGGCATCGGCAACAGGTCTGGAACTGATTTGCCCAAGGCCGACAGGGTCAGGACCGACATGCTTAGGACCGACAGGCCTAGGACTGACAGACCCCGCGCTACTCCCTTTTAAAGATTCTCATATGCATTTCTGAAAGAACAATAGCCCCGGGTGATCGCTGCTCAACCCAGAGGCATCCATCCCATACCATGGACTCATGCCCCTCCCGCCTTACAACAAGTCCTTGCTCATTTCATAGGACCAGCCTCCCTCACGCCGCAGCTTCTCTCGCGCTGCCAGATCTTTTCGAATATCATCCTCGATCAGCCCGTCAGATCCGCTCCAATTAGCACTCGAGGTTCTGTTGCGGAACTTGGGCCATCTATCCTTGCTCATGCTGAATACTTCTTCCATGTTTAGCGGTGCTGGTGGCCCAAAGATTTGCGATGGGTCCATTGTTTCTTGTCGCATTAGAGCTGCCCGGAGATCGGGTGACGCCGCCCAGCCCGCGATGTTCTTCATACCAGGATCATCATCCTCATCTTCATCATCAGTCCCAATTTCGGGTAGCTCGATTGCTTCTCCGTTCTGGAATTGTGGCGATGAGCGAGGCACAGATTTCGCTGCCGACTTGGCTGCGAGGTACGGGCCAGGACGTGCAGGTGTCCTGAAGGCAGGCCCGGCTGCGTTAGAAGCGAAAGGAATATTGCCTTTGGAAATCTGGGCCACATCAACAGGGCGAGTAACCTTGCTTTGAAGCTGATGAAATGCCACTGAAGCCTTGAACAAATCATAAGTCGCGCTTGGTGGTACATTGGAATAACCATTGTGGAAAAGTGACTTTAGAGGGAAATCCTTTCTAAAGCCAGGCGATGGTCGCACAGCATGACTTTTCGCGGGTTGGCTACCGCTCTCAGCGTCACCTTGCAAAACCTCACTCGTCCGGCGCCTCTTGGCATCTTTCGGTGGACGGAAAACAGCCACGCCGTCACCAACGTTCTGTTTTTGCCGGCTTTTTGTTCCCTTGGGGGGGTCGGGCACTCGCCACCAGGATTTCCAGGCCCGCATAGCTAGCTGCCGAATGCGCAGAGCCAACTGAATATCTTTCTGTCCAGGGTAAAACGCCACAGTGAGACTCGTCCCAATACTGTTGGCCCGTTGCGTAGGGACTCACCGGCATCAGCGTGACGCGCTTGGCGTGGATGGCGCACAGGTTGGCCTCCTCCAGCACCCCGATGACATATTGCTCGGTACTCTCCTGTAGCGCCCCGAGAGCGGTGCTTTGAAATCTCATTTGGCTTCCGTGTTTGTCTGCACAGATCTCTTTGATCTGTCCCAACTTTTTCATCAGCACAGTACTGGCTACAGCACTCATATCAGACTAGGTACTTCGCACAAGCCTTTGGAACGAAAGCCTAGGAATGACAAGCCCCGTTTGCTTCTGGGCTTTTCTGATTTCCCTGAGCGCTGCGACCCCTGGCTTGACTCTCTTGGCACGCTTGATCTGGCCTGTCGTGGTAGGCAGCACCACTCTGGCTCGCTGCCCGGAAGCGTTGCCGCCTGCGATTGCGCGAGCTCTTTGTTTTACCCTCGCCATGGTCGGCATGCAGCGGATGGGACAGGACATACATATACTTCCCCTCTTTGTCTTGCGTGTTGGGGGTTTCGCTACCACGGCCAACTGCTTTGTCGTACCCGCTTATGTCGTGCTCACGTCGTCGCCGATGGTGTAGGCTTGGCCACCGGGGCTTCCTCAGCTTTTTCGGTCGCCGTTTCATCTTGACCAAGGTGGCACGGCAGCGGGTCATAGTGATCAGCTTTGCGTATTGCATATGCTCTGTGTATTGTGCATGTTCTGCAATCATGGGCAACGTGGACACGGGTCGGCCCATCTCAGCCGCCTTCGAATGTCCGTCTCGTGAGCTAAGTACAAAGTGTTAGCGCTATAAGTAGACTCGTCATCCCAAATTGAAGGCTAGCTTGTCGAAGCCTTTTGCTCTCCAGGAGCGCCCGTTATATCTTGCACGTTTGCTCTCGGGCTCCAAATAGCTGCATATGGTAATCATTGACTCCACGAGAATGGCTTTGGAATTTGGTATGGCAACAACAGACGTCTATTCTGGTGCTTCCTTTTGCTGACTCGAGGAACTGACTCCACAGGGTCCTCCCTTACGCCGTCGGTGGTAGAGTTGCCCTGCTGCCTCCGCATTCTCAGCCCGCAGCGTCTGCGTTCGCTCTTTCACCGAAGCGGCGTGACACCACGATGTCCAGGGTGCTCGAATAGGATCACAAGAGAACAAGAGATCCGTGTCCGGGACAGCAAAGGCTGGCGGTCCGTGACCGTACGACGGGTCGGTCATGATCCGGCGGGTGTATACCTCTCGTGACCTGCAGAGGTGGCGCACTCCAAGCTGCCATGTGCTGGCAGGGCTGCGACAATTGAGACTATCCGATTAGTTACTGTAAAGAAAAGAATACAAGTGACTCTGTCTTACTGAGAACGCGTAGCCACCTCATCACGACGAAGCGTGCGTAGATGTCGAAGTCGTGCCGACAGATGCAGGGCTATGCCATGTCGCTCACACTCGTTCGCCGTGAGACAGTAGCCACGGGTCTCTGCAAGAGCCAAGTCGTACCATCGTGCGGCTCGTGTTGATTTCCCATTCTCTGTTGGGGTGTTTTGGTTCTATTTTTGCGCTCTTTGCTGTCATAGCTCTATACCAGATCCCTGCTGGCTCTTGCCGTCATGTATATATTGTGCAGACTTAGACGATTAGCGACGACATTTGCGAGCTATGGAACTCAATGAACTACTCATCGTGGCAGAACTCCTTCGGGCCTTGGCCAAGATGGGACCGATGCACAAGAGACTTGCACTACAGAAGATTACTATGATCTCTTCGATGGGCCAGGCTAATTCTGTTCTACCTACGTCCATCGAGGCAGCTGTGGGGCTCACAACTAATCGCGCTAGTGAGGTAGAGAAGCCGACGAAGCCGGTTACATCGCCGTCGAACACACGAGGATCATCGACAAAACCAGTCACGAAGCATCCGACGGGATCGGTGAAACAGGGTATTAAGCAGGATAAGTGCACAATAAACAACTTTAAAGCATTGACGGGGCAGAATGCCACCGTCACAAACTTACAGAGAGTCCTGCTAGCGATAGGAAAAACGCCGCATCGAAGAAAGGCTCAAATTTTGAACCAAGTACGGGAGTTTTGGTCAGAAATCGAATCCTAGTACGTACAGTGAAGAGCGAGGTGCTAAGTCGGCGTCGATGTATCGAGGCAGCTGTGGACCACACAACTAATTGCACTAGTGAGGTAGAGAAGCCGACGAAGCCGGTTACATCGCCGTCGAACACACGAGGATCATCGACAAAACCAGTCACGAAACATCCGACGAAATCGGTGAAACAGGGTATTGAGCAGGATGAGTGCACGATAAACAACTTTGGAGCATTGACGGATCAGAATGCCACCGTCACAAACTTACAGAATGTCCTGCGAGCGATAGGAAAAACGCCGCATCGAAGAAAGGCTCAACTTTTGAACCAAGTACGGGAGTTTTGGTCAGAAATCAAATCCTAGTACGTACAGTGAAGAGGGAGGTGCTAAGGTCGCGTAGAGAAGGAGAGCATCACATACCGAGCAGATGTATCGAGGCAGCTGTGGACCCCACAACTAATTGCACTAGTGAGGCAAAGAAGCCGCCTACACCGCCCCGGAGCGGACGGAATTAGCGACAGAAGTGATAAGTCTAGTGATAAAAGCAGTGGCAAAGCAGTGAAAGACTAGTGGCAAGATCAGCAACGAGACAATCAACGAGACAATCGACGAGACAAATGAATTTACAGACGACAGCGCTGAAAAAGGGAGAGGAGTTTTGGAGAGAGATCGAATGCTGGTACCATGAAGCGGGAGGTATCAAGTCGGCGTAGAGGGTGAGAATATCACATATCGAGCAACTGCGGGCTGTGGTACGTAATAATTAGATAGTGCTATAGTAGTCAATACATGTGTACAACTCAGTCGTTTTCGGACGATTTCGAACACACTGGAGCGCGATCCACAGCTTGATGGGAGGCGAAGGTTAGAGCGACAAAGACTAATGGAGTTGGCCGGCGGTGTAAAACAAAGAGAGTATCCCAGTTTCGTCCTTTGACCATGCCATCCTGCCTCGCTTTCTCATCTTCCTTCGTCACCATTTAGGTTGCCAATTTCTTCTCATCACGCCAATGGCGATCATCAATCTAGATCTGGCTGCGCCAGCGTGTGCATGCCAGCCTTCGACCCAGGACTTTTCATCGAGCACGCAGTTGCAGCCCGAGCCGTGGGTGCCTACGACGGTTGCTGACCCCGTCGACGAGGCAGAGGTTCCGTCGTCGGTGTGTTGCGAGGAGGGTTCCCCGCTCTTTCACCTCAGAGACAACGGCGTGAATCTGACGCTGTTTTGGGAGCCATCGACTTCCGAACAGTGCATAGATTGGGGTCTTTTGACGGATTGTGGTGTCTCGGGTGACTACATGGACGGCACCATCCATCTGGAAACTGAAGTGGCTTTCGGAGAATGGCTCAGTGCGCTGGACGCCGAGGAACGTGCGAAGAAGAAGGCGTGCTGCTCGTCAAAATGATCCGCCGCGCCTTGTGTCGCGTCTTGCTATTCTATCGGAATTTCCTCAGAATCTCTCCATTATTCAGTTTGAGCAACGAACAAGCTCCCGTTGAAGCATGGTGTTCGACACAGCACGAATGTCAGAAGTCGCTGTTGATATAGTCCGTCTTGACCGGCACGGCACAAGTTCGCACACTGTGGCAGCGGCAGAAAAAAACAATATGCCGAAGGCTGGGGAGCATCGTAAACAACATGTAGAGCAGGGAGCCTCCAGCAGCTTGCCCAGTGCGGGGCTCCAGACCCTCGTATGCGCCGTGTCTTCCTGTAGGCACACAGTACTCGAGACGTAGGTAGCTGAGCTCTTTCATCGGTCCCAGAGATGCTAGAAACGGCTGGACGAAATACAAGCTGTTAGTTTGTGCTCGACGTTCTCAGCAAGAGAAAAACAGAGAGGACTCATTACAATCATATCTCTTGGCTTTCGCCCTCTATGTGTCAAAAGCGTCAAGGTGTTGACTTGTGGAAA